TCAGCGAGTCAGCGAGTCAGTGAGTCAGTGAGTCAGTGAGTCAGTGAGTCAGTGAGTGAGTCAGTGAGTGAGTCAGTGAGTGAGTCAGTGAGTGAGTGAGTGAGTGAGTGAGTGAGTGAGTGAGTGAGTGAGTGAGTGAGTGAGTGAGTGAGTGAGTGAGTGAGTGAGTGAGTGAGTGAGTGAGTGAGTGAGTGAGTGAGTGAGTGAGTGAGTGAGTGAGTGAGTGAGTGAGTGAGTCAGTGAGTGAGAGTGAGTCAGTGAGAGTGAGTCAGTGAGTGAGTGAGTCAGTGAGTCAGTGAGTCAGTGAGTCAGTGAGTCAGTGAGTCAGTGAGTCAGTGAGTCAGTGAGTCAGTGAGTCAGTGAGTCAGTCAGTGAGTCAGTGAGTCAGTGAGTCAGTGAGTCAGTGAGTCAGTGAGTCAGTGAGTCAGTGAGTCAGTGAGTCAGTGAGTCAGTGAGTCAGTGAGTCAGTGAGTCAGTGAGTCAGTGAGTCAGTGAGTCAGTGAGTCAGTGAGTCAGTGAGTCAGTGAGTCAGTGAGTCAGTGAGGCAGTGAGTCAGTGAGTCAGTGAGTCAGTGAGTCAGTGAGTCAGTGAGTCAGTGAGTCAGTGAGTCAGTGAGTCAGTGGGTCAGTGGGTCAGTGAGTCAGTGCGTGAGCGAGCGAGCGAGCGAGCGAGCGAGCGAGCGAGGGAGGGAGGGAGGGAGGGAGGGAGGAAGTGGGAGGAGAGGAGGAGGAGGAGGAGGGCGGGCGAGGCAACGGCGACCGGACGACGAGTGGTAAAAGTAAGAACCCCACACAATGATGTAAGGAAAAAACACAAAAAAGCTTGGCTTTAAACATCGCAAGCAAAATACAGGTGTCCAAAACCAATCATGAAACCAACATTTGAGAGGGAAACAGTGGCGGCGTCTTGGTTGAGATGCTGAGAAGAAAGATGCCTGCACCTGTTCGGGGCAAGAAAGGGAATGATTGATACTGGGCACCCTACTTCAGTCACAAAACTAGATTTCAGGTCCCGATGGTCTAATGGTCCCCTCAACCGGGTGTTCCTTGACCAGCGGGTGTTCCTTGAGCCAGGGACCTATGCTAAGCCAAAATGGCGACCAAAGCAACTCTTCTCAACTGAACCGAGTTCCTCCTGTTTCATGTGCTTCACACAAGGCGAAAGCGCAGAAGACTTTCAATAAATCGCCTCATTCTGTAGGGAGACTCCCGGCTGGCCCTCGACAAAGAGTCCGACGTGACGCGATGGCGCACGTGACCAGAAGGCGGCACAGAGGTCCAACCTCACAATCCAAACATCGCAACCAGCTCATTCTTGGCTTCATTCAAGTCAATTGCCCAACGGTCAACTTGAGATGTGAGGATTTCAAGGTGACCGTTGGGGTAGGTGAACCACGTCCTCGCGAAATCTACACCATGTTCCGTTGTTCGTCTGCTTCACGCGGTCCGTCAAATACAAATCCGGAGCTCTTGGCCAAAGATTTAACCGTGGCCCTGGCCAGATCCGCAAGGATCTCCGTCCGCACCTCGGAATGCGTCCGACAAACGGCCAGTTCCAGGCGAACAGGTCAACCCGAATCCCCAAGATCCTTCGACCGAATATACCGAATCAACGTTGCCAAGGATCGATCGGACTCCAAGAGCTTTGCCCGAGGGTTTCTCTTGGAAAGGGAGCGGCCCCAAAGATGCCTCGCAGTGCATAGCGACACACCAGCACTACTCAAAGCAGCATCTGCCGACCACATCAGCAGTCGAAAGCTGAATTGAATGGGTCTCTTTCACTTCTCCGAACCGGCCAACAATTGATTCCCTTGTGGAGGAACATGAACCGCTCAATACCTTTTAAAAGGTCTCAAGTGCGGTAGGCAAACAACTCCTCTCGTCGGTATTGTGACCGTCTGGCAGTCTAGCATGGATCAATTGAAGCTTGGAATGCTCCGTGCGTATCCTTTTTCTTGGCCCACAGCTAGCTGGTCTGAACGGCTGCTTGTTCTACTTAAGCAAGGCAATATTCAAGTTCCCAGTAAACTTTTCCTCCAAGTCTAAACATATCCCATTCCAAGCAACCTCTTGCAGGTCCGAGCTACGGTGTGCGAAGCCAGCCACTAAAGCAAATACTCAACCAAAACTGCATCCCCAAATGTTCTCGCAACGCGCACTCCAAACAAGCAAAGACCCAAAAACCCACGTGTCCCGGCCACCCTCGCTCTGAGGCCCGCGCCTCGAGTGATGGGCTCTCGTGCCATCGACTCCTGAAAAACTGATCGAACAGATGCAAACGGTCAGCGAGTGAATGCGGCAACGAAAGACGAACTGCCATTCAGCAGCAAGTTGCGTGGCAAACGAGAACAGCTTGGTCAATACTGTGGATGGACGCAATCCTGCACCTAAGAAACCCTGGAAGGAGGATTCCCCCCTATATACCAACCAACAGTGGTTTTCCATGGTTTCAAAGTGGTGCAGGATTTATCCACAGTATGAACCTGAGGAATTGCTACAGCACCATTTTGGCCCCGTGACTCTTGGTCTACGGTGGAAAAAATTGTGTCGCTTCACCCTTGCTTGCTCGACGAGGGTGGTAAACACCTATGATTCGAAAGCAGTCTAGCCACCTGTCAGCAAGGCTGTTTTGAGAACATAGGTCTAAACCACAGACTCTTCCCGAACCAACAAAAAAAAGCCGCTCTGTCTCGCGCCTATATTCGACGCCAGGGGTCTGAAGCTCTTAGCCCTTACGCTTCCATCCGGCCTGACGCGGAGATGGCCTGGCTCGAGCATGGCGAACATTGTCGCAAAGTGAGGAGCAAGGGCTATAGATACCTTCAATCCTGGTTCGATTTATCTTCGTCTCAACGTGTGTTCAAAAGCCTTCCTTTCAATCCACATTGGGCTCTTCCTTGACATGTGAACGTACTCCTTAACATTCGGGAGATGAAAAGGTGTGAGCAATGGAAGTGTGTGCGACTTTCGGACTGCAATGAATCATGGCATTGGGAGGCGGGAGGCGCCCATCACACCATGTGCTGTCAATCGAACTGGAAAGGACATGGAGTGCATATGTGTTGCTTCTCATATCCACGGAAAGCGGATTAGGGCTGGGGGCAAGAATCTTGCAGTCATGTCAAAAGGCGAAGGGTGCTCAAGGCCGCCCCTCGGGCTCTGCAAGATTCGGGAAGAACGGCCGCGAAACTTACTTATGATCAGTTGCACAGTACGAACAAGGACAATTGAGACAGACATCCTTGGACCGGAATCAGTGCTCTTCGCTTTCCTGCGCAAACATGCAATAAGCGACTCGCATGCAATTTGGTCGCCACACTCGCACGAAACAACCCGCGCACCGCACCCTGCCCCGTTCCCTCGCCTGGGGCTGGGGGTTCTGGTGCCTGGGACTCGACCCCCGATGGGCGCTTCGACATGGAACACATAGAAAGCGCCGACACATTTGTGGAACCTCAGAAGTTCTTTCCAATGGAACATCATGGCCTCGAACTGATGCAAAGGCTCCGCTGTAAATGGCTTCACACCCACGTGAGATGATGGACTTCCTCGAAGGCTTGGTGACAGCAGGGATCCCATAATAAAAGGATCCATCCTTTTCCTCGGCCCAAGTGACAGAAGAAGTACTAAAAATTGTGAGGCAACCAATGCAGAAGGGCAAGGAATCCCAACTTCAAATCACTTCACCTTGGAGACCATGGAGGGAATCTCAGCCTCTTTGAATCCCGTCGGATGTGCCCAGATCCTCGCCTGTGCTGCGCGCCTGGCGAAACGGCTGCAAAAGCACACGGCAGTCAATGCCGCAGAAATAGAGCCAAATCCTTCAATCTGCACCTCATGGCTTACGTGGCCGATGACCCTCCTCTCAACAGAATCAGTTGGGTGCTTTGTGGGCTTCCAGGTTGGTCCCAGCGTGCAACATGGAACAAGAATCGTCATTTGGGACGGTTGTCAAAACCTTTCAAGCAGTTGGCTTGGTGGTTTCCTTGGGACACCCAGGAGTTCAACTGATCACGCGCCCGTCTTGCTTTTCCACAAGGCCTGGCCGGAACCTCCGAGCCAACCAATCAGCTTGCCTGCACCTCGGACATGGCGCTGCTTGTCCTGCCCAGAAACGAGCGCGACAGAGGGGGTCCTAGAATTGCAAAAGTGGTGTCCTTTCGCCTCCAGATTTTCTTGGGCATCTAACTCGAAACAAAGTGGCGATGCCCAAACCCGGAAGAGGGCCTTCTAGAGCGCCCGCCTTTGTCAAGCCATCACGGAGCCGAGCCGTGGAAGCGAGGACGACATTGGCCAGGCTTGCGAACGCCAAGGCAGGTGTCTGACAGCATGGAGTGCAAATGGAGTCCCGGATGCTTCTGGAAAATCTGCGCCAAGTGGAAAAAGGCGGCAGAAGAAAAAAGATTCACTGAATCCTCACCTCATTCGCTGAATCTGCAACACTTGTCGAGTGAACCACAAGCTGTTCGCACGCCATGAGCACCATGCGCGCTCCACGGCACGCAGCCTCCTTGTCTCGCCGGTCCGGACTCATGAAGGCATCTCTGAGCGAATCCGCCACAGGCTCAAACACGCGGAGGGTGTTTTGCACCAAGCCCTTCCGTTGCGTTCATGCATTTGCCTTTTTGAACAGGTTTCCAACATCTTTCTGGCTGGAGACATGCTTGCGACTCGGGAGGGGTCTTGGGCACACCCGCTCTGTTTCTTGTAACGAGAGTGAAACAACGATTGGCGCAAGCCATCGGAAGCTCTGTGCGCGTGTTTGACAAGCACGAGCTGATCTGACTGTACACTTGACTATGCCAAATGTAATGTGCCGACAAAAGCACCTCAGGATCTACCACAGGTCCGACATGCCCCATCCTCCATGTCTTGAACCAAATCCTAGCATGGCCTGAAGAACCGTGCTTTTCTCAAACGTAACGCAGGACTCGAGTCAAACAAATCCCCGCATCAATAAACGTGTCTAGACAAGTGGCTGGCCCTAGTCCTGTTTGAGTTTGGCCAATGTTGCTTCTGTCACGCCCATCATTGACAATGAATGTTAATCATGGACTCGCGCTGTCCCAGTGTGATCGCCCAAAGATTACACAAGTATAAGACACCTGAAGAGCAAGTCTACCAAGCGATCATTGTCCTCTCAGGACACCCAGTCCACCTGGAAGTTGGGCGTCAGGCTCTTGAGGAAGGGCTTAGCCGGCTGGGGCAACACCCGGGCCGCCTCGCGCCGTGGCTGGGCACCCATGAGGCTGGTGAAGATGTTACCGCTGCCGTAGTCCCCAAGGTCCTGGTAGGCCCTGCGGTACCGCTCCTCACGGAGATTCAAATTGCGAGAGCGACAAAGCAAGCCGAGATCACTTGATTTGCATGGGAGGGAAAAGGACCAAACGCTTTCCAGAAAAGAACCAGAGATCATTTGCATAGACGGACTCCCTAAGAAAAACACCTAAACCCTTTCATCCAAACTCCGGCCTCGAAGTGCCCGTCGTTGCGGCGGCCTGCCCACACCTCGCGTGGACGTGCTTGTGGAGGAAGCGCCGGCGCCTTCGGCTTCCGCGGCCCCAGGATCTCCTGCCAGACGGACGGCACCTTCCCCCGGATTCCGCCAGGCCCGCAGTTTGCAACTGGCTTGATCTATTGCAGAAAATTCTGACAAACCACTCTGAATCCAGGCAAACGCAAAAGAACCAAGGGCTTAGGCAGAGAAACCATACCTGCCGTGTAAAGGCTAGCTGAAAAAGCACCGTGGAAGCCATGACTTCACCCCCCAATGTGACGTCTCCCCTTCCAAACCCGCCCCAAAACCCAAAACCCGCTCCTCCATGCGCGCCAGGTAGTCGGGATCTTGGGAGCTCGTCTCCGGCTCCAGTGGGAGGCCCAGCCGGGTGCGGCGGCCCGACGTCGGCGGGTCCCGGCGGGTGGCCGAGGCCAATGGGCTGAAGCTGACGTTGGCGTCCGCGCGCGCCCCAAGCTCCTGACCAACCCGGGCTAGCCACTCTGGCTCAACTTCATGTGTTTCAAAAGAGGAGTTGATCATATTAGAAGCAGATTTGCATGACATGTGCATTGCACGTACATTGTACATTGTATCTATGATTGAAAGCGGGCGGGCCTTCGGCTTCGCTTTGGACTTCACGGGCGGCTTTGGCTCTGGCTCTTTGGGTGCTTCGCCGAAGCTTGTCCAGTTGGATTGCCCGAAGGCCTCCACACCATCCATACCATCCATGCCCTCTGTGCTCCCCTTCTCCTTCTTCCTCTTCTTCTCCTTCTTCTTGTCCTTGGGCTCGGGGAAGCTGGGCTCCGGAAAATCAAGTGGAAACTCCGCCGGGGCCTCCGCCTGCGCACCCCAGTCCGCTAGCTCCGTGTGCGACGGCTGCGGCTGCGAAGGCGAAGGCAAAAGCGCGCCGAAAGCGGGCGCCGCATTGGCCGACGGATTTCCCCGCGCCATGTCCCTCGCGCTCTTGGAGGTGCCCTGCACCGCCAGGTCCCGGGGCGAGTCCCGGAGGCTGCCCAGAAAGGCCATCAGCTCGTCGCCCAGAGCGGGCGCGTGGCCCTGGCGCGCCAGGCGGATGAGGTGCATGGCCGCCACGAACTCCACGAAGCCAAGGCCGGGGCCGGCGCCCACGTGGGACAAGTTGAAGATCTGGATCAGCGTCTCCTGCGGCAGGTAGGACTTGTTGAAGAGCGACCTCACCTCATCGGCGCTGATGAAGCCATCCGAGTCCTTGCGCATTGCTGGCTTGCCAGTGCGCGCTAGCCCACGGAACTTCGAAACAATGCGTTGACAACTCGTTTGACAATCAGCTCTCTTGTGTAGTCAGCCGGGGATGCGCCTGACAGGCAGCTAGGACTAAAGCTCGCAAGCCCATCAAGTGGCACTCGGGTGGCCCGAAACCATTTTCCATGACACGCATCCTGAACCGGTCCGCTTTTTCCAACGCTTAGCACACGCAGCTGACGTCTGTTCTTGTTTCAGATTGCAGCTGGAATGCACCATTCTGAAAGAGGAAAACATAAAAGAACTCTCCACACCCAGGCATTTGTGCTGGTGGAAGAGCCCTCCTCTAACGTAGAGCGAGAGGAAGATCTACTCCGCGCCAAGATAATTGCGCTTGTAGGTTTCCAAGGTATATGAAGAAAGACAACTCCGTTTGAAGACTTGCCGTGGCAGAGACCACATCGTTTTGACAACAGGGTTCCCATGCTGCAGAATGTTTTCTGTAGATAATGAATGTCCTTGCGCAAATTGTTCTGCGCAGGTCTGCACGTCGCTCTCAGCAAGTTGCCATGCGCAATGTACTTCGCGTACCACTTGTGAACTTGAACATTGCGACTTTTCACTCGAAGCAGGGAAAACGCGCGCCACGCGTGCTACTTTTCGCTGGAGCTGCGGGAACGTGCTTCGCAACTACTTTTGTACTTAAAAGCTCCGACATTTGCAGCCGGAGCTGCGGGAACGTCGCGTAGCACTGTTGTACTTAAAAGTTACGGCTTTGCAGCCGGAGCTGCGGGGACGTACTTCGCGTGCTTTAAAAATTCCGAATTGCAGCCGGAGCTCCGGGGACGTACTTCGCGCGCTACTCTGGCACTTAAAAGTTACGACTTTGCAGCCGGAGCTGCGGGAACGTCGCGTAGCACTGTTGTACTTAAAAGTTGCGACTTTGCAGCCGGAGCTGCGGGGACGTACTTCGCGCACTACTTATGTACTTAAGAGTTAGGACTTTGCAGCCGGAGCTGCGGGGACGTGTGCAGCCTGATCCCTGCAGACGGTCGCGTGCAGTCCGCGAAGATTCACACGGGACCGCAGCGAGAGCGATCTGACACGCACAATCCCCGCAGAGGGTCGCGAGCGAACCGCGAAGTTTCGCACGGGACCATAGCGAGAGCGATCCGACACGCACGATCCACGCACAGGGTCGCGCAGATGGAAAAAAGACTCGAGTTTTTGCACATCGACCACGCCGATCCCCGCAGAGGGCCGCGCGTGCACCGCAAGAATCGCAAAAGACAAACGGTTTTTGCACATCGACCACGCCGATCCCTGCAGAAGGCCCGCGCGCCGCAAGAATCGATCAGTGTTGCCCCTCGACCACGCCGATCCCCGCAGAGGGTGGCGCGCGCACGGCAAGAATCGCACAAAAAACAGCTTTTGCACATCGACCACGCCGATCCCTGAGAGGGTCTCATTTTCGCAGAGCGCGCTTGGTCCCACCCCGCCGCCTTAAGATGCTATTTGTTTGCTAGCGTGCGTTTTTCCTGGTGCAAGTTATGCTCGCAGGTGAAGCAATGCAAGATCGCTACGCATTTCACTGTGTACTTTCCCTATGCATGCCTCTATGCATTTCATTGTCTACTTTCCCTCTGCAGCTGAGCTGTGCAGAACGCAACGACTGTACCAGAAGAAACCTTCGCAATGCTTTCGGCAAAAACAAGTTCCTCAGGTCCAAAACTTCAAGACCCCTTATAGTATAAACCGCGAAAAGGGCCCCAGGCCCCGGGTCCTGGTCGGTCCGCACAAAGAGCCGCGCATACTTCCGTAGGTCTCGGCCATTGGGCACCGGTCGGGCCCGCTGCTGCGGCTGCGGCTGCGAAGGCGAAGGCGAAAGCGCGCCGAAAGCGGGCGCCGCATTGGCCGACGGATTTCCCCGCGCCATGTCCCTCGCGCTTTTGGAGGTGCCCTGCACCGCCAGGTCCCGGGGCGAGTCCCGGAGGCTGCCCAGAAAGGCCATCAGCTCGTCGCCCAGAGCGGGCGCGTGGCCCTGGCGCGCCAGGCGGATGAGGTGCATGGCCGCCACGAACTCCACGAAGCCAAGGCCGGGGCCGGCGCCCACGTGGGACAAGTTGAAGATCTGGATCAGCGTCTCCTGCGGCAGGTAGGACTTGTTGAAGAGCGACCTCACCTCATCGGCGCTGATGAAGCCATCCGAGTCCTTGCGCATTGCTGGCTTGCCAGTGCGCGCTAGCCCACGGAACTTCGAAACAATGCGTTGACAACTCGTTTGATAGCCAATCTCACAACGCATGGCTTATTATTGACCCCAATCAGCTCTCTTGTGTAGTCAGCCGGGGATGCGCCTGACAGGCAGCTAGGACTAAAGCTCGCAAGCCCATGATGTCGCCAGCAGTACCTCGTGAAAGCTGCAAGTGGCACTCAAAGCAGCTCCTTTAAAAAAACGAACAAAGTTCCTCCGGCCAAAACTTCAAGACCCCTTATAGTATAAAGGGCCCCCAGGCCCCGGGTCCTGGTCGGTCCGCACGAAGAGCCGCGCATACTTCCGCAGGTCCCGGCCGTTGGGCACCGGTCGGGCCCGCGACATGGCGTCCGTGCAGGCAAAAGTTGGCGAGGAAGCCAACGTTGGGGGAAAATATTGGCCTGGCTGGGGAGAAATTGGCGACGTCCAATTTGTCATTGGAAGATTTGAAGAGTCCCAAACTCGAGCTTGGGAATCCCAGAATCTGGATCGACTGGTGGACTCAGTTGGTGTCAATGAATGTGGTCGGCTTCCCAGGTCCAACTTCATACCGGGGTGCGGCCGGATAAGTAAGTGTGTTCTCAGCTTTGCTATGGGCCTGCGGCGAACTGCCTAGTCTGGCATGCAAAGCAGGCAACTTCCTCACCTAACAAAATCGCTTGGCAAGTTGCATTGCTCTACTTGCCCTTTCACTTCGACACCTAGCTGCTTCATATAGCCTTGGACATGTCTGGTGATCCCACGAGATCCGCTGGTCGCTCACTCTTTTGACTGGGTTTCGGGTGAAACTGGGCACTTCCCTTACAAGCCCCTCGCGCCTCATACCTCCGCGCGTCGCTCGCGCGTCGCTCGCACGTCGCCTCTCACGGCTCTCTATGAGACGTGGTGTAAACCCCTGCCTCTTTGACAGGCCCCAGCCAGAACTGCGCTTGGGATGTCTTCAAACAGAAAGAAATTCCACTGGGCACCTGTGCGCAAGGGGAACTCACCACAGTGAGCCACGGAAAAAGGCCGCGCAGAGCAAACATCTCTTTTCTCTGCCTGAAACCAACAACACCGGCAAAGCAACGAAGCTGAAACTCCAGAGCAATCAAGGGCTAGCTCATGAAACTCATGAAACTCATGAAACTCATGAAACTCATGAAACTCATGAAACTCCGAAATGTCATCACAACTCATGAAAGTCATAAAGTCATAACTCGAATCAATCCAAACCCGGCCGTTCGCCGGCCGTTTGCCGGCCGCTCGCCGGCTCACAGCTGGTCCTCCCGCCCAAAGTGGGCCCGGATTCGGCGCAGGCCGAAGTCCTGGCCGTGCAGCGCGGCCACGGCCTTCTGCGCCGTCTCCACCGCGTCCTCGAGACGACCCAAACGGCTCCCCACAAAAGGGAAACGGCTGTATTTTTTGGGGAAACCAAGGGGAACCTCCGTATGTTTTGGGGAAACCAAGGGATTCCCCTCTTTTTCCCTGGGGAGAAACCTTTCGGGGAAACCTCTTCCCGAGTTCCAAAGGAACTGTTGTCCGAGTTGCCTTGGTGTGGGAAAGTTTGGTCATGTTTTTGGTAGGGTAGTAGGGTACCAAAACTATGGTGAGTTGCTGCCTCTGGGGATTCATCCAAACAACCAACCCCTGGCTCCATTTGGCTAATCTGAAGACGGTGACGGCTACTCCCAACTGCCTCGGAAAGTGCCCACGAGTGTTCAATCAAGGCCCTTGCACATTGGCACTGGCCTGGGTTCTGTTACTGCCCGAACTCTTGATACCATGCAAGGCAAAAGTTGAAGAAAGGATCCGCTGCATTGATTGGAATGCGCAGCAAAGCGTGTGTTGGCTCAAATATCCTGTAGCTACCAGTGAAATCTTGAACTCGCTACTAGGAAGACCTAGGAAAACCATTCTGTATAGGAAAGAAAGTGCGTTTCATATCGGAACTCCTGGCGTTTGTGCTCATAACCTCCACTGGGCACCCTCTTCTATGCGTGTTGTTGTGAGTTTTTGTCGTCTTTTGTGAGCCAAGGGACATATTCCAAGAAGACCCGCACCGTGTCATCCTCCGTCTGCACCGCGCACCGCAAGAGCTGCCCGTACTGCTCCCCCACATTGGCCACCTCCTCCTGTCCAGGATGAAAATAGACGGCACCATTCCCTTTGTTTAACGGAACAGGGGAAATCGTGCCCTCTAATGCCGCTTAATTAAAACTGGAGGGTTGTTGGAAATAACCCTTTCTGTGCTGACAACTCGGACCATCCCCATGACCGCTACTATCAGTTTAGAGGGGGATTCCCTTGGTATCAGAGAAGTTGATCCTAAGGCCAACCAGGAATCTACTAGCACCTGTAACAAGTGTGGGCCCTCTGTGTTGGGTGGGCCTTGACAATGTTCGAAAATCTGGCTATAAAAGCAGGCGTTGGTCAGAAAGGTCCTTTCCGTGTCTGTTGAATACCGCTTTGGCACACCCCAGACGATCCACTCAACTCAAGGCACTTGTTGCAAAGTCTAGCACTTGCTTTTACAGTTTGTGAAGCATCTTATCCCTTTCAACCCCCTCACAATATTCTTGTTTGGCTGTTCAAAGAATTCGATTACAAGGTCGTGCGCCCACAGAGCTCCCCGCCAGAATTCGCAATATGTCGGAAGTGGGTTCCTAGAGGTGGGATTCGGTAAAAAAACAAAAAACCTGTCCTGTCACACACGATAATTTGGAGATCAAATGCATTAGTACAATAACCTGTGCTAGACAGATTGGTCCTTTCAGTGCGTCCCAGTGGTTTATCAAGGCTTCACAACTCTTTTCTGAGCGGATTTCCCCCCCCCCCCCCAACCTATGACTGAGCTTTTTCACCTACATGCCGGATTACTAAGGCACGCCCGCCATGTGTGCTTGAAGCTTCTGGAAAAGCCAACACCAACGGCGTCTATGCATTCCCCGCGATTTGCTTGAGCACGTGGGTGCGTCCTTACAACAGGTGCCTGAACACGGGCAAGCTTGCCTGTGTTCTCCTTTCCAACCCCTTAAAAGGCGGTGTCCCTAAGTAAAGGCCACATTAATTTTGCATGTTCCATTTCAAAAAAGCGTGAAGCATCCTTCCACGAACATCGCATCTGTTGGAGGGTACCGAGAAGATCGATGTCCTTCAAGGGGCCCATTCAATCTGACACGTTGCACGTGGGTGTTTCTTGAAATAGGGGACAACACAAAAACCAGAATGCTTTTCTTTGGTTGTCTCCTCCCCCCCCCAAAAAAAAAGCGGAAAGAAAACGAAGGTACCCTCACAAGAAAAGGACACGGCCATGTAAACCAGGAGCCCTCGATATCCATCCCCTCCGCCTGGAAGCCACCGTCCAGGTCCTCAGCGGTCGCGAGGCCGCCCAGCACCACCACCCGCGAGGGGGCGGACTTCTGCAGGTCCCCCTGAGACTTCGAACGCGCCAAAGGCCCTAAAAAAACACCCGCGAAACACCACCCGGGGAGCAGAACGGTCAAATCTGAGCCCTTCATTGCCACCTATGCAGCACATGGCCCATTGGCAAAAAGGATGTTGTTTTCATTGTTTTCGCTCGACAACATGTAAACGACGAGAGAAGAAGAAATTGGGAGCCCCGCCTCCCGGAAGCGCTTTTCGTCGTAGAATCGCGCCCGCACCGCCCGCTCCTCGATGACCTTTTGCAGGCAAACGGGGCCGTTTTTTCTGGGTGGGGTGTTCCTGGTTTCTTGGAGGGGATACCTGTATAGCTGTTGGAGTTCATTAAACACCACCCCAAAGTTCATAAGGTCCCCAATGTTAGGTCTTAAGCCATCCCAACACGGCTCGAAAATAGGTCAAGCCGCCAAGCCAGGCAAAACGAATCCCTTGTGGTGTGACGGCTGGTAAGATAAATTCACATCAGAGGGGACAACGGCCAAAAGAAGCCCCAGAGACATGACAATGTAACAAGTTGACGGTTCTTAAAGTCATGTCTCTTTTTCTGTCATATTGCAAAGCACCCGTTCAAGTCGTCCCTTTGAACCGTGCCAAACCGACGAGCCAGCAACACGCCGATGAGAAAGAATCCAACAGCGCACCAGCGAAGAGGCGGCCAAATGGGGGCAAGTCTTACCTGCCAAGTTCCTACCTGCCAATTCTCCTGGTTCAAACCAAGCATAAGAGGCGACGTTGAAAGAAAACACACAACCAATATGAGGGACGTGTCTGAAAGAAAAACCGGAGGCCCACCCTTTTGGGGCATCTCCTTCTGTTCCGTTCCGCCCGTTCCGTGCGTTCCGTGCGTTCCGGGGCCTGGCCCTTGAGAGCCGCGTAGGCCTTCGAGGAGCTCTGCACGTCCTCGAAGGCCAAGAAAACGCGCACGGCCTCCTCCTCCGGCACCTCGCAAACCTGGCAGTTCGGTCGACACGTGAGTGGGGATCACGGTCCAGGGTCCCAGTTCCATGCATCCAATGTGGTTCAAGGTCAAGATGGGCGGTTGGAAGGCATAGAGGCCTCAAACAAGACTTTTGGGCATGTGTGGAGTCAGAGAGTTTCAAGCGGTGCTCGTTGAAGGCCCATATCTATTTCTTGAACTCGTCTTGTCGAGATGTTTCAAGGATGCCTCGAAAGAAGCGCCGTTCCTTGCAAAAAGCTTAGTCTCATGACTGTGATGGCCAGTTCTCCAAACAATGGTCTTACATGGTGAGCCGAGCAAATTCAGCATTGCGGTTTGTTGAACTTGTAACCTCTGCCCTTTCTGGTGAGAGTGTAAATTCGCATTGGTGACCTCGGACAGGAAATAAATAACATCGTTACTGTCGATTGGCATCATCCAACTGTAAACCCTTAAAACTGGGCTGGCTCTCCTTTGGGATTCTTCTAGCAACATCCAAACAAGGCGGGACTTCACGCCACATTTTGAGGCACGCCTTGAGCACGGTGCACTCTGCCGTGCCGAAGTCCTTCACCAGGTCCAAGGCCTTGCTCTTGATCTCCTCCTCCTAAAGAACCAAAGCGCCGTTTGGTGGCGTCCCAAAATGGGACCCGCTTTCGGAGCATCAGGAAGCTCCGGGCAGGGAAACCAACCTGCTTTTGTGGGGTCATGTTTTAAAGAACACTTTGCTTGAGGCGCCACCGAAAAACAGCACATTTGCCGGCCTTGACTCACATTAGTAGTCCAATGGAAGGAACCAGCCTTCCAAAAAACTGTCCCGTAACATCACCCCAGGGCCAAGGTGCGCAAAACCAAATCGGGACGCAAGGACCCCTGAGGCATAGCGTCCCGGGTCTCAAGCTGCAACGCATTTCCACGGCTCGGACCGCACCAGTCCTTCTTCTTTTTCGAGGGCCGGTGTCCAAAGACCCGTGAGAGTTTGGGTGAGGATGCTGGAAGAGTTTGACCTTGGCTTCTGCTTTGACCTTTCCCCAGGTGTCCATGTCCCGTCCTGCATGGAGGGAGGCGCCAGATTGGTCAAGAGCAGCACCTTGGTGGGGGACCGGTTCAGCTTGGCCACCTCCCCGTCCTCCTCCGTCTTGGCCTTCTTGGATTCCTTCTCGACCTCCGCCTCCTGGACACAAGGCAACCACTAAGGGCTGAAGATCACTTGATGAAGAAAAGCTGTCCTGAAAAGAATGGGGAGGGTGTAGCTAGCACCTGGACCCCAAGCATTCGTGTCAGCTTCCATGCTTATCGGTACGTAAGGAGGCTTGGAACCACGATACACCTTGGGCATGTCTCGAAAATTGGAGCCCCCTTGTCAGCAAGTTAATCTCTTGATGCTTTCTGTAGGCATAGACATATCCCACTTCAACCGCAAAGCCAAAGATCCAAGACTGATGCAACCGCTTTGGCCATGGTAATGATCATGATTCCATTTGCAGGAACCCTTACCCTTACAAAAAAAGGGGGTTGATGACAATTTCTATGAAACCAGCGCTCTACCTAGAGTTGCACAAGCGTTGCTTGAACAGCAATGATGACGTCAGGAACGAGGTCCGGGCAACCGCCCCTGTTTCATCCCAGTGCCACCCAAAACCAGGGTCCAACACGATGAGAGCCAACCTACACCACGTCTCCCCCCCACCCCCCCGCCCCACGCCTCTTGACGCTTGGCGCCTTGCCACAGCTTCACCGCCGAGTCAGCAGTGGTGGTCTTGCCCTTGCGGAGGCTGGTTCGCCACTCCTTGAGGGCGTCCAGGTATGAGGTCCTAACGAGGGTCCCAAATTTCGGTGATGCCAAACGAGGCCATCCCACAGTTGTGTCACTCAAAATGGGATTCCCTTGGCATCACAGAACATGCGTAAAATCTCATTTCGGCAGAAAAGCGCACAGGGATCTTGAAAGCTGCAGATTTGGTCTGTTCCTTCCAACCGGGGAGGCGCATGCTTCAGGAAGGTTCAAAGAACTAAAAGAACGAACCCATGCCTCCCTTTCAAAAGACGAACATCCCCGTCCAAGCACAGCCGTAGGCCTGAGACCAAACTGGCCAACGGCCACTTCCCATCCCTCCGCTCCCCCAAAGTCCCAGGCTCCTTAGGTGGCCCTCGTCCGCCTGCGCCACGAAGCCTTCGGCGCCACAGCCCACGATGCCATCCCCCACCAGCAGCAGCAGATCGGTGGCCGGCACGAAGGCCCAGGCGTCCGCAGCACCTCCGTGCGGCTCCCCGAAACGGAACGACGGGACCATCATAGGTGGGGGAACTCAATTTCCCCTCCCCCCCCGGGAGAAAACCCATGACTCAACGTTGGGTAGAACTAACAAAGCGAATACCCTCAGAGGAACGAAATTGCCTAGAGGCGTTGATGGATATACCTCCTCAAACGTGGTACTGACTGGTCCCATGGTTCTGACTCTAGTCCTGGAAACTGCCAAAATGACGGGCCCAGAATATAAGCCGCTATTATCTGAACATCAACTGGTTTAGGCTGCCGCCGAGGGGGGTTCGGAGCAGTCGGAAAATCTAGTCATCCGTCGTTGCGGGTCCCCCGAGTCCCACCCAAACGAGCCGTTCTGCTCAAATGCGTCAGGATTCACCATTTGGCAGTCAGCGCATTCATCCCTCAAACGAGGACCTTCAAAACCTGTGCGAGGGATTGTTCCGCATTTGGGCACTGAACACGGCTCGCGGAAGGAGAAGCTGATTTCCCCCAGCTGCATCCAAATCAGCAACTTCAATGCACTACTTCCCTTTTGGTGTTTCCTTGTTGGATTTGCTGCCCTTCAACCCACCATCCACAAAGGTCCCCCATGTTGCGACAGGATTCTGGGCTTTGGGGGAACTCACTTGAGTGGCAAATATCAGCAATTGATCTGTCCCAGTGGCATTACATGGCCATGGGTCAAAATCCCGTACCCCCAGTGAACATACCAATCCCCACTAACATACTCAAAGGAGAGGGAAACACAGTTTTCTCAACAACGGGGGAACCCGGGACCTTAAAAGGAACGAACCCCGCCGTGACTGCGACCTCTCCCTTAACCTTGTGGCAGCGCGTGCAACGCGCTCTTTTCTTGAGCCAAAGCAATGACATGTGGTCATGTCACTGATCTTGTACCTTGCAACATGAGTACCTACCTCATGAACCTCTGGGCCATAAATGTCATCGTGATAATTGACTCCCTCCTCATTGACGGCACTGAGGGAGTGTCTTGGGCGCATTACCACGCCAACTTGAAGTCAAGTTTACATCACAACGACTGACGCAAGTTATTCAAGCATCGCCCAGGCACTTGCACACCTTTGGAAATTTGCGGACATGCTGCAGCGCACTAGGCAGCTGCTTTAGCGGATCTACTTTCACGAACGTCTTCAAGCTTCTCTGGAAGGTCAACACGGATGCCGAGCAACCGGATGGCATGGTCCCACTTGTTGGGTGGAAGTGCTTTCGTGAAGATGTCTGCTGACTGCATGTCTGTTTGGACGTATTCTATCGAGATGTGTTCGCTTTCAAGCTGCTCTGCGATGCAAGCGGGGTTCACCTTGTGGGTGCGTTGGACACAGCGTAGCTTGGATGAGAAACCCTTCTTTGCTACGAGGATAGTCGCCTGATTGTCCTCGTGGATCTTGAGATGGAATGGTCTGTCCAAGATCAGCTCCCATAAGCTGAGCGCAGGAAGTGCCTCCTGGTACAGGGAGTACGCAAGAGATACGATCTCCGCCTTGGTCCAAATCGGCGTCCACATAGAGAGACAGATGCAACTCATCAGTCGAATCCTGAACTGTGCCAACTAGCGTGCTGTTAACCGTGCTGTTTATGTAGCAGACAAGCCTATGTAGCTGCTTATCGCAGTTTCTAGACCATTTCTGAACAAAAGAGGCAAGGTCGCCAATGGGCTTGACCAGGTCCGGGCGTGCCAAACGGCCGAGCCATAAGGCTTTCATCAACACGCGGCAAGCGGCGAAGCCGAGCTCACTCCAAGGCGTCATCTGCAGGGTCTAGAGATCCAGCGGGACAGAATGGAGTGGTGGCATCACGCAACTTTTCCGTTTTTAGCTGTGCAACCTCAAGATATAATGCAACCGTTTGACGAGCATAATCTCGCATGTCGAACGCCATGCCCCCTTTCAATCTGGGTCCTTTGGAGCATCTATCAAAAGGTGGTTCCTGCCTAGCACCCGATATATGTCTTCTGGGGGTTCTATATCAACCAGTCTTGTTAACTTTTCCCAGAAGTCTTTATGAAGGTGGCTGGGGCCGGCCAACGTCAAGTCGTCGACGTATGTCGAGAGAAGTAACCCGGACTCCTTAAACCAGAAGTTTCCAGGAAATTCTGCGACCTCACGCCCTCCAAGTTCACTAATGAAACCTTTGAGGTGTGCCCCCCAGAGTCCGCCAGCGTCAGGATGCCCATAAAGAGCTTTAACGAGCAAAACCACAGGTTTCACGAAACGCTCGCGCCACCACCTTGGCCGGAGCTCAGGCGGGAGTGTGATCCAAGTTTGGTACTTGGACTTCAGCAGTGCTTGCACATAAGCCTTTATAGCGTCCGCTGTTGTGGTGGAGTTCCCTGGCAGGGATCCATAAGCGAGACAGTTATTAAGACCTTGTACGCTCGTGGGATTTGCTCCCAACTCTTGGTAGACAGCTGCTGCGCCGTGTTCGTCTTTCGCACAGTCTCCGCGATACACAATCCTGCCTTTCATCTTCTGAAGGTGTTTCGCGAGTTCGGCGAACTTGACGGATGCTAGCGACATCAACTGCCCGAAATGAACCTTTATACTGGATCGTCGCGCCTCAGCAGCGACTTGATCATACTCTCGAACTGAATTTAGATCCCAAACACCGGCTTTCTCCAGGCCTGTGGCTTCAAGTCGAACGGCTTCAAGGGCTTCCGGGGAAGCCAACATTTCGGCACGTGACAAGAGTCTGGTCACCATTGCGGTGATTTCAGGCTCTTTCTCTTCCTTGACTTGTCCTAGAGAATGTGCGATGAGATTTTCAACATCAAGAACTTGTTCAAGGATGTCGTGACACTTTTCATCGGACTCAACAGCAATACCTATATCTTCCAAACCAGAGAGAGGGGATGTGTGTTTTAGCTGCTGCTCACGTTCCCGGTGGTCGAGAGGCAATGGCACTTGGACAGGCATCGCAGGCACAACGGGCTGAACTGTCGGATACAGCGCGCGGGCAACTGTGAGACACATGCCTTCGGGGTAGAAAGCGGTCTTTGCGGTCTTGTTACCTGCTGCAAGCGAGTGTTTATACCCTTTTTCATGTGGGCACTTGAATCCACTTAGCGCGGATGCGAGGGTGCTATTGCTGGTCATGACTTTCCATGGCTTTTTGATGGGGTAACCATTGCTGTCCTTCAGACCTAGGGCGCAACCGTGGAAGGTCGCTGGGGTGAAGACCTGTGCGTATTCCCTAAAGAATGCAGAAACGTCATCCCTAGCCCAGCTGTCGCAATCCCTTGGCCATTCAAACGAAACACTACCCCCCTGATGGAGGACAGTCTCAGCGTGACGTCTGAATCTGGAGAACAACTCTCTCGACTCTCTAACCTTTTGCTTCAGTTTCTTTTTGAACTGGCTTCCCAACTTGGCCTTATTAAGGCGTTGCCATGCTGAACCTGATGTGCAGGGGATTGCAGCCCAGAGATTGGGTTTATCACAACCTTCTATCTGCGACTGCAACTGGATTTCTCCTTCATCTGTGCTAAGGTCCTATGCCAAGACCTTCAAACACGCGACCCATATTGGACTCTGGTGAACATGCGTATTCAAACATCACAGGCAACTTATCAATGCGCGCCTGTCGCTTGCGGGCACGATGATTTCCTACCTCAAACTGCTTGGGCTGCGGAGCTTCAACCTCTGCGCTGCACGGCATGCCAAAAATTGGCAATGTATCTGGACGACCGTTCTTTGACGCTTCGGTGAGAGGTGTCGGCGGTACGGAGTCTAACATCACGCTGCACCTGTGGTGATAACGCAATCGGACTGAATGGGTTTTAACTTGAACACTGTGAACCCAGTCCATGGATCTCCAAGTGAGCGATTAGGTCGACTACCAAACCAACCATCGTGAATGTTGTCTGCTTTGCCCCCCTGAAACACGGCACGAGTGGTGCGAGCTGCAGTAAATCTTTCTGGGGAAACGGGGCAATCCTCGACCTCCTTCGGGGTAAAAAGATTCTGCCTTGGCATGATATGGTACCGAACCAAACAGTTGGCATTTTCTTTGAACACCCAAAAATCTTCACCTTGCGATGTAGCGGCTGTCGCTGGCGCGGGGAGCGGGCTCCCCGGCTTCGGCTGCATCAAATTCATGCGCAACGTCTTCTGCACTAACTGCGATTTTAGGATCCTCCTCATGCGCGGATGCGTGGATTGCTCTGGCTAGCTCCTCATCCCCTTCAGTATGAACAATGGGAATGGGTTCCTTAGATTCAGTTTTGGCAGCGCTTTTTGCAGCTGCTTCAGCTCGATCTGCGGAAACAAGTTCGGAGAACCTCTTCTTGCATTCGGCACTGTGAATCTTGGAATGACCGGTGCATGCACGGCAACCTGGCGTTTCCTTGAACTTGATGATCCTCTCAACAGTTATGTACACAGATTTTGACTTGACAGCGGATGGAGTCGGTGGGGCCCCAAAGGGCGCCTCTCGCAGGGGCAAAGTTGGGGGATCTGACCCGTCTGTCTTGCCTCCGTGCAATGCTCTGTCTGCTGCTGCTGCAATCGGAAAGCTTGGCGGTCCGTCCTCTACGAACAATTCCGGTTCAGGAACATCGTGAACGGAAATGGAACCGTCTTTACGGAAGGCTTCATAGTCCATGACTTTGACCACGTTACGGTACCGCAACCCCGGATCGACCCTCCAACCCAAAAAGGGCGCTGGTGCCATGTTCGGATCGAGAGTGCGCTTGCCAGGAGTCTTGGTTCTGTACCAAACCAATTGCCCGAAACAGCATCTCTTCCCTTGGAACTTTTCCTTTGTGAGGGCTTCCCATTGGGTTTTACCTGGGCTGAATGGAGCAGGCCTGTCGAACGACATGGTGAGGCATGCAAATGGGTAGCTAAACGTATGCAACGAATAGGGCAACCCTGATTGCAAGTGGATGCTGCGACAGCATTCCTTCTCCTCGCGAATGTCGCGCTCCAGGACGGTATTGTGAGGCCACCTGTTGGGCAAGCTTGTCTCTGGGA